AGCTGTAGGACGATAAGCAATACCCAGGCCGAGCTGTGCAGCGATATTTTCCGTTGCTTCTGACAGATTCTTTACGTACGGTAAGGGGTGCGGTGTTGGTGGTTCTTCTCTATTTGTTCCCCGTGAGCGCTTGCGAAGTCAGCGGCTGCTAAAACTGTTAAGGTATCCATTCCTTGCCAGATGATCCCGAAGATACCGTAGTTCTCGCTCTCGTCGCTCAGGTCACTGCAATGTGTTTTTACCCTCTGGAAGTGTGTTCTAATACAGCCGCGTTTGGCGCCATTTGGTGGTTGTTATTGTAGCTGAGATGACATAGCGAGATGACTTGGGCGTGGAATCGACCAATCACGAATGCTACCCCCCCCACCCCCAGTATCTCGTAGTTTGACTTCAAAACACGCTAATTCTTGCTGTTATCCTATTGCCTGTAAAGGTGGCCTTCTGTACGAGTCCAGAAGGTCAGACAAAAACAACCGCTCTTCCAGTGATCACGTCTTTGTCTTCTTTAGTTGATCCTGTTTTGTTAATCGCTTGTCATGAACTTCGGTTTATCCATCCCTACTCTAATTGTCCACTCATGCATCCTAGGGCTCCGTTACAACAATAACTGTTTACTCATCCGTTTATGCGTAAAGGACCACCTTGCGTTACTGTTGTTTAAAATTAGATACCAGTTTTATTTCACATGTGTAGAGCTAACTTGAGAGTTCCAGAAAATTTCAACCCTCGAAGGTATAGACGAGTCAGTCAGTAAGTTGCATGACGTTCAGTGAAGTTGTTGTTTAGTTTGATTTCTGACCCCCTTAATTTCACCTATTCTCCTCATTTCCTGTTCTTCCTTGTAGAATTACTCAGAGTCGTATATCCGATTCGGCTATTCCACTGATGCACCCCGTCAAGCCCAACGTAACATCAAGTCCTGAATCTGCGAATCCGTCAATCCTAACTAACTCAACACCCCCCTGTGACCGTGGTGGCCCGTCGGAGACCGTTCGGATGGTAACGATGCATGGCCTGATTTAGGATTTTGCTATGAACTTTTCCGGATAAATAAGTGCGATGCGGGCACTGGGTATTGACAGAGGGCAAACTGACTGGAAGCCACTACTGTAGGAGGTTTAAAACCCATTTAGTTCCACTTAAAGTCCCCATTTGTGTACTAGTATAATTTGGTGTTCGGCATTTGAAAGCAAGACTGTTCGCATATGCTCGACCACCTCTATCTTATACGACCATGAAAACGAAAGTTGGACTTTGAAAGTTAATTTCACTCCAAGATTTGCAAAACCTGATTATCCTGATAATTTGGCCCATTTCGGTACCGGAAGACAATTCAACAGATACATTATGTTTTATTGATATCAGGAGAGACCTCTGTTGTCCTCAAAGAAAACCAGGAAGTTAGAAGACGCGATTTTATCGCTTTTGTGAGCCTGAACCTATACCTCTTCAAGGATAGCTCTGGGTCTGGGCTTCTAGTTGTAGGGATTTTAATAAGCAAAGAAGAAGAAGGCTACCCGCTCGCCGGAATCATGTGCTTATTCATCTGAGCTCTTAAGGTCTTACTGGTGGCCATTTTCAGAAATAAAAGCGCCCAAAATAGTCAGTAGTAGTTATGGTGGCTAGGAGCTGAGCAAAAATCAGTAACGACAGTCCGGAGGTGACTGTGTAAGGCTGTGTATGCTGACGCTAGTTCGATATATCGATTAACTAAGTTCTAATCTGGGACCCAGGCTTCAATCAAATCGCAGGTTGTCTGGCGGGGATGATTAACGTCGTGGCTATTACGTTAAACCCATGACCCGTTTCGTAGGTGTGGTTGGCCACTTGTGATAATACATCACCCGTCTCACTGTCCGCTTATATTCATGTGTGCGCGATCCAAGCATGCGTCCAGTCTGTCCTGTGTTGTTCCTATGGCCTTGCTGCGCATGGTAGCTCTGAACGGGTGTGTATTTTCGACACCTAGTCTTGTGGCAGTGCGCTTGACATGGCATGCGTTGGCATAAATCACGGACCCATCAGTTTTGACTGCGTGCAATGTTGTGGAACTATATGTCGGAGTTGCATACTGCCCCAAAGCTACCGTAAGCTTCAGGGTCATGCAAATTGAAGACCGATTAAATCCTATTAAACAGTCGGGTGTATTGTATGCCATACTATGCATAAACTCTCCTAGTGACTGCACAGGACAGACTGGATGCATGTTTGGATCGCGTATACTTGAACACAAGTTGGTTGTAGGACGGGGTGGTGGACTATCATATGTGGCTACCCAAACCTACAAAACAGATCAAGAGTTTGACCTAGCAACCAGGAAATCAATCATCCTCCGCTAGAAGAAATGCAAGCGGCGAATTAACTGAAGCCTGGGCCTCCGTCGACATGTCAATCGGTCCATCGATCTGGAGCCGGCATATAAAGTCCAGCAAAGTCACCCCCGCGGCCTGGTTTTACTCATTTTAGCTCACTTCCTACCCACTATGACCTTTGCTGGCTTTTTGGCCGTATTTACCTCTAATGATGGACCCCAGTAAGAATTCGAAAGCTAAGATGAATAGAGACGTGATTCCGACAACTCTTCCACTTTTTACTTATGCGTACCCCTGAAATGGGAATATTCGTATAAATTCCTGGAAGTTGTTATTGTCTTTCTCTTCTCAAAGATGTTAGGCAATTGTATATGATTTTAAGTCCAAGCCCAAACTTGCTGCACAATATTATTTTTTCAAACCAAGGTTTTCCACGTGCATGAGCACCCCTTGTACTAGAAAGGACTTTGCACTAAACTTAAGGAAACAGGATATTGCCTTGTCCAAGCTTTACCCTAACCCCAAATTAGCGCTCACCCTACCCCGCTTACCCTTAAAACAGCCCTCAAATATTCACAGCTCAGAAGCTTTCTTTTTCCAACGGTCAGGCCTGCCTGCTGCCAAAAATCCAAAATTTCTCTCTAGGCATATGAAGAAAACTGTTATGCTATTCACTATTATTTAGGACAGTTATTCCTCATTCCTCTTTTCCTCATCCTCAGTTAATTATGCCTTTTCATAAGCGTACCGATACCAGATTCAAAATTATTAACTGAAATGTATGGAGTTGCCTCATTCTTATCTTCACCTACTTCTTCCCAGATGCCAACACGAAGCTCCTCTTCGGAGAATCGATCCGACCCCTCAACCATACGAATTCGTCTCGTAAATAACGCCGACTATGTGAAAGCCCAGCACTTGGGCATGGAGGTCACTGCTAGTGGAAAAAACGAGGGTCCACCCTTCTATGTGGGCCGCCTTGTGCAAAGTAAGCTTCTAGGGTAGCTGTGTTGAAGAATTCTTGGAATTCCAAGCATACAGTAAAGACTTACCCTTGAACACGCCTAGCCGGTTTTTATAAGTCACCCTTTCCTTGCAGTAAACGTTTATGACTCCTTGACACTCTAAACCTACAGCAGAGTTCTTAACTTACGAAATCTCATGAACGTCACAAAGAGAATCCCTGTTATGCAAAGTCAGCGTCCCCAAATTCTTATAGCAGTAAAGAAAAGACTCTTTGTTTTAAAAGGTAGGCAGTTTAGTTAATAAATTACTATTTATCCGCATAAAAAATTAATTTTCACCAAAAAATTTCAATTTCAGATAAGAGCCATATTACAAATAACTAAATCAAGGCCAACTATAAAGACGCTTAAGGAAGATGGGTGCATGAAGAAAGGACAGTACTGAAAAGTAATAACACATGCAAACGATGAAGACTTTGTTGATTTTCCAATTGCACTTAAACCAGCATAAAGTTTGTCAGGCATGGAGGTAGACAGGTTGCCTATAGTATTTGTTCCTTGTTATTTTTTTAGTACAAATCCACATTTTTCTTGCCTTTGTCTTCTACCATTTTACTTTGATGATCGCGAAAAACGTTTCGATAGGATTTATATCCAGGCTTTTGGTCGGGATAAAATTAGATTGGAGGCCGCATGCAGAGGAGCTGACTGCTGTTTAAATGGTTAGGTTATAGAGAAGAAGACGACTCGATCGCTGGGCCAACACTTTTATTCGCTTGATGTTTCGGCATCTGTCGTGGATTCTTCATCAGAGACATCAGCAGAAAGCGCTATTAAATGCAAACCTCTGTGGAGCGATTAACGGGAGTATTATCGTGTAAAACCATGGTATTCCTTCTGCGTCTATGGACGCCATTATGACCGAAGATTTCATTTCGATGTCATTGAAATCTCTGCTGATAATGATGTCTGTAATCGATCGCCAATTTCACCTCTCCCCATGTCTATTAACTCTGTAAACCACAAATTTTCGACAGTTCTTGAAGGTTGTTGTTGGCGCAGAGTGCTCATTTGAAAAAAAGGTCTTTCCACGTATTACCATCTGGGCGACTGTGTAGACTTATCTGCAAATAAGATCTAATCGCAGGAATAAATACTCTTCCAGAATGTGGGCATGCAATCAATTTAATTTTTAGTAAATAGAAATGTTCCCTTATGAATTTCCCACGTACAACGTTGCTGGTGAAATTCAAATTCCTGCTTACCCTTCTTTATTATCTTCACAAGGTATGTCCGCAGATTTATCCTGTGAATGTTCTCAGCGGAAAGGACGAATAAATTGTCGTCTTGCTTAACTATGGGTCGTTTTGATCTGTCTTGCTTGCTTCTGGACACGGTTTGATCATTACTAATGCCCCACAGATTACATGACTCGAGTGGGAACCCTAAAGGCATCATGGACATACAAGCGTGTCCTCTAACAGATCGGCGTATGCCTATGTACCACTGTATATTCCCGATTAAAATCCGAAAAGACATCGAGCACGTAGCGCAGTGGTTAGGGCATTGAAATTCTAACTAACAAGGTCGTGGGTTCGAAACTCGAGCAGGGCACCATGTTCTGGGACAATACTTGAGTTGGGTATGACTAGCTGACGACGGCTAATAAGCCAGAAATGGCCATCCTAGTCTTCCTTGTCGTTGTCCGTAATATGCTTCTGCCTGTATCATTAGCCGCCCTGCGGCGTGGGCTCGAGTGTGGACTCCAAAGGCACCATGTCTCCTAACTAATCAGTGTGCGCCTATCACCCAATGACTTATTGAAAATACTTGCTAACAACTCACCCGGCAGTCCTTCCGCTGTCATCTTCTGTACGCTTTCGTACCCTAATACACATAGAACCTGTCTGGACACAGCCTTATCTTAGGGCATGACGGGTAAAAGTGGCAGCATATCGCACCTCCTCACATTTACATAATATGCAGAGAGGAGAGACGACAGAAGATGTGGGTAGATTGATACAGTCTATCAGCTACAGCTAATCATTGCTCCGACTACCAGCTGCGATAGAAAACACAAATATGCGTTCGAGTACGGCGCAGGTAGTCCACGCACACACTGGATCTAGGCGATGAGTATAGGCAGTTACTTGGACATCTAGAACCCTACGATTTCGCTCAATTCTGGTCTGGTTTTCCTTCATAAGACGGATTTAGAATGAGCTCTTCTTTAGTAAGCAGCTTTCTACGCCTAGAATCAACTCATCAAGCATTGTTAACAACCTAAAATATGTGCTCTGCCGCCCACTAAAATTTCGATTTCGACATTTTATGCATTAGGCCATCGACTGTACACACCTTGCTTGAGAAGGTCCTCTTACAGGTTAATGATATGGTTTCGACTTTTTGCAATTTCAGAATCAATGGCCGAACGCGCCAAGCTACGAACTGGTGACGAAATTTATTCCATTGACAATGTCTGCTGCACCTACAAGGCGGATCGTCCACCCACGTTAGTTACCTTGTCAAAGGTCAACCAGCTGTTAGATCGGCTGACTGCAGCTAATCGCGCAGTGGAAGTGCGAGTCATCCGAGGTGACCTGGTTTTCGTATCAGGTGATGCCGAAGCGTTTCACTCTTTTTCGTGCATTAATAAGTTGTGGTCTATCTCCTGAAGAGCCAAAATTGACTATTTCTATTTAATCCCTGCCCATAACGTTAACAGGCCTAGCTATCAAGCAGACGAACTCCCTCTTTGCACAAATGTCACCTCGCACTTTGTTCCACAAAAATTTTCACAAGTTCTCTTTGGATATTCCTCTTGGTTTTGTAGAGTTCATCTTAAACTATTAGATTCACCACTCTGATGATTAAGTTGGTCCAGCATACTGCGCCTACTGCCATAACTTACGCACATTCTGTGAAATTGAGTCTACGCCATACTCCTTTTGATAGTATTTCGCACCCTCGTTACTTATCTTTATGCTTCTATTTGCCCCTCAACTTACCGGTTGAAACATATGTAGCTTCTACCGCCGTGGTGGTATAATGAGACTACCAGCTGGCTTTAGTTTGAAAATTACAACCTAACGGTATTGAGCTACTGGACTAATCTAAAGTGTTAATACGGTTCTCTAAGTTATCCTTTTATGCTTTAGAATTTGAAAACTTATTTCGAATGTTTCTGTACTACCATAGAGGATGACGCCATTTCGATCCAGGACAACAAACAATCCTCTCAAAATGGGCGAAACGAAGGTGATGTGGTACGTCATTTAAATCGGTTTTGTGGATACCACAGTCATGGAAGCATGTTGGATGATCGATTTATGGCTGTTATTGAATTGATTGAATTTTGTCACAATGCCTACCGAATTTTAAACAGATATGCAATTGCATGGCGGATTCAATGGTGCCGATAGCTTGGGTTATAACTATTGTGTTTCCTTGGCTTGCGGTTTTAACCTATCGTATACTCTGCCCTCTTTTCCACATAAATAAGGTTCATTTTCATTGATACAAGTAGTATAAAGCCTCTTTAATTTGAGCTCTAAAGAAGCATGCTATTGTAACTAGGGTCTGAATAACCGGAGAAAAGGTTTAATACACTTGACTGACTTACCTAATGTATACTTCAACTTATCGGTTTTTTTAATGTCGGATCAATTCGCGTCTGAATGGTCTATTATTGGAAGTATGACTTGGGTCCTTACCATTAGATGATAATTAGGACTTGACTATTGGCAAGATCACTTTTGCCATTGTGAACAGTTGCAGAAACTTGGAGCTGGTCTCCTTCCAGTCACTGTTTGATCTTTCCATTTATGAATACATTTCAGGCTGTGGCCTCGGCAAAAGGTGGAACAAGTCCAGCAGGTGAAAACAAATGTGGGTGAGTAGATTTCTCACTTTTCCGTTTTTGACAAGTTAGAAAACGGAAACAGTTTCTTCCTCATTAAACATGATGTACTTCAACCTTTTTATTGCAGAGGATTTGATATTTTTAAATGCATGTTACTTGAATAGGTTACAGCCGCAAAACCCCAATCTTCTTGATTCTCCGATCGTTATGAAAAAGGGCATTGGACAGATTTCGAGTCCGAATAGTCCAAAGCGCTTTCATCTTGTACATTCCAACGTCGGCAAAATGCGTAAGTTCGGCAGCCTGGCATTTAGAGGTATGCTTTAAACCAGGTCAAATGTCTTGTTTGAATTACAAGCCAAAAACCCTTGGGTAGGTACAGTGTCTTTCTAGGGATCAAGAAAATAACTGATAACAGTCAGTATGAATTAACGTCTTCGGAAAACTGTACATGCTAACAAGTGAACCCAAATTAAACGATCAATAACGAATAGAAATAATTCTTTTGAAGTGGCAGAGTTTTCTCTATGTATATATTCTTAAACCTGTCGTGTGGATGTCTGTAACTTTATTGATTGTTGAAGGCGAAAACTTAATTCGAATACGAGAAATTGACCTAACTGAATGATTTAGAAGTGCCTGTTTACCAGTACATTGTACAATGTGTACATTGCGCATTGTGTTAAACCAGTATGGATTCAGAAATGTATCGCTAAAATGTTCTGAAAATGTGAGCAAAAGTTGGGAGAGATCCGCTGAAACAGACAGCGTGTGAGACCATTCAAATAAGCTTGACCGACCCATTGAATTGCGAACCGTTTGATCATA